TTTGGAAAATCACCTAGCTAGAATTAGTTTAGAAGTATTCCTAAGATATAAGTTCTTAAAGAATAGTCTTGTGAAGCATGAAAAAAGCAAATAAAGTTCTCATGGAATCTAATTAATAACATAATCACCACAAGATCATTAAAAAGGTTTCATATGGATTTAAACCTATTAATATGATATGTATATGATAATTAGAAAGTAAATTTTACTTGTGTTATCTTGATGATCAAATCTCTTGAAAATAAAAGTGAAAAGTTGAAAAGTTAGTGTGGAAAAACTTAAAATGATGATGACCAATGATTTAGGATTTAGCTTTTCTATAATCAAAATGCATAATTAGCATTAATTACCTTGAAAAATAAACTAACATGTGTATTATCAACTTAAGGAAAGAAAAAATTTATTCTCATATTCGAATTCAGCATAAGGAATATGAAATTTATCTTGAAAGTTAATATTCACATACACCTAGCATTTAAAATACAAAACTAACCTAGGATTAGCATTAGTCTACGTCCAAAAGATTTATCCTTTATCTTAGTGAACTAAGACAAGGTTTATTTTATACTTGGATCTTGGATTTCTATAGAGGCAAGCCCCTATTATCAAGTAAATATCTAAAGAGAAATTTTTTTATTAAAGTGGAGATTAGACTCATTACAAATTTAAAATACATAAGACTTGCCATTTATACTTTGAAAATATCAGCCACTGCCTCAAAAATATCATAAAATTCTTTAGAGAATACCTTTGAATACATGATATTCTTTTATAATAGAGTTCAAGGTGTAAAAAGGCCTCTAGGATTACCTTTGGTTGGTATGCACTACCAGCTAAAAACCTAATACACAAGCAATTGTCTTAGATGTAGTGTACAATACAATCAACTCTATAATAAGAGATCAAAGGAGTAGATCAGACTCTAAATCAGTGACTCGGGATGAGTAATTTTAACTGTACGTTCAAATGACACTAACGAGATAATTCACTAAAAACCCTTTATTTTATCTTATTTAATTATCTTAACTAAAATTTCTAACTCACAAAATTTCTAAGAAATTTTGGCAGCATAACAGTCTTATACCAAAGGAAAAGTGATAGTAACTTTCGAGTGCATGAAACTCCACTACCTTGCGCAAGTTGGGCATTAGTGTTTTGGTTTAATGTATATTGCAAAAATAAAGTGTGCATATATGCATTAATATATAAAGGTGTTCGAGTATACGATACCAGTAGCATATCATCCTAGATCTAACATACATGTTCCTACAAAGTTTGTAATATATACATAGAGGAAAACCTTGGAAACTTCTACCCACTAATGCAAGCTACCACCCATATGATGCAGTACATGATGCAATGTAAATAAAAGAAATCATGTATAAAAGAAATTCATTTTTTATTGATTGAATATTTATAAGACTCTAACTCTGTAGAAAAAAAGGCGGCTAGGCTCCACCATAACAAACTTGAGTTTTTAAGCCTACCATGCATATATTCAAATACATATGCTTAATATCTTCGAGTTCCAAGTATTTAATGAATTTTCATAAGAGATTATCCTCAAAAGGAGAGGATATCATATTTTGGAGCCCCATTTAAATATATAAGTAGGTGTATTTAACTCTTTTAAGTGTCCAATACATTCCTCAGATGTCTAGCATAATCTTCCTTAGAAGCAAAATATACAAAATAATCATATATGAAAATAACAACAAATTGATCTAGATAATCTTTAAATACTCTATTCATGAGATCTACAAAAATAAATTGTGCATTAGTCACCCCAAATAGCATGAGCAAAAACTTATAGTGTCCGCATCAAGTGCTGAAAGTTATCTTCATCACATCAGCCTCTCTCACCTTCCCCTGCTAATGACCTGATCATAGATTAATATTTGAGAATACAGAAGATCCAATAAGATGATCAAATAGATCATCAATCCATTATAGTGGATACTTGTTCTTGATAATAACTTTGTTTAATTCCCTGTAGTTAATATACATACACATTGTACCATCCATTTTCTTCATAAATAAGACATATACTCCCGAGGGAGATACACTTGGATGAATAAACCCCTTGTGAACCAACTCTTGAAGTTGAACCTTCAACTTCTGAAGCTTCTTAGGAGTCATCTTATACGGAGCTTTAGATATGGGGGTCGTACCCAAAAATATATTAATACAGAACTCTAAGTCTCTGTATGGAGGTAACTGACTAAATCCTCAGGAAATACATCTAAAAAATCTTATACTACAAGAATATTATAAAGATACCAAACATCTATACACCTATCAGCTTCCATTGCGAAATCAAACAAGAAAAATCACCTCAAACTTCCTAGAATACCCAAATCCCACTACCCATAAATAATGTAACTCACTTATTTAACAAATCAATATGAGTTCCATACTGACTCAACCAATTCATACCCAAAATAACATCATATGAGGAAATAGGTAATAAAATCAAACTAGATTTTTACTTCTTTTTTCAAAAATCTCAATATCACATAAACAAAATCTACTGGCTATCATACAATCTCCAATCACTAAAGTAACAAAAAGAGAAACATGTAGTACTATTGAAGGAAAGTGCAATAAATCAAAGAAATACTCAAAAATAAAAGAATGACTAGCTCTAAAATCAAATAAAACATGACATAGATGCTCAAAAATATAAATAGTACCTATCGCAAAATCTGGAGCATCACGGGCCTCCTACTGATTCAAACTATATACATGTTGATGAAATGGAGCTGGAGTTATAAAACTACAGGCTCTCTCTTACCACTACTATATGAATTCCTTGCCACTAAACCTAAACCACCAAATATAGCAAATGATCCATCAAAAAAAGTATGGAGAGGAATTTCCCTCGATCACCCCACTGGTTTGATAAAGCTCAAAGATCTAGAATAAAAACATTGGTAAAATCTTATAAGTGGACACTCTACTTCCCAATACCCTATTTGACTACATCTGAATCACTGCCTAGTCATCATGTAGTACTGACTGTTAAGAGAGTTGCTACTAGCATGTTTTACATTCTTGCAACTTATATAGTTTTGATGATTCCAAATATTATAGTTTTATGTGTAGTTATCTCCTAACACTTTTTAGAAGATTTATTTTTGTTATTGTGTGTACTAACATTTCAGGAATATTGAACTCCAAACTATGAAGACTTTAAATCGAATTCAGCATACAATCCTTTGCAAATTGAAGCTTTAAATTACTTTTTGAATTGAGAGGGAGTCATTATAATTGAGTGAATAAACACACACACACACACACTTAAGGAGATCTTACAAAATTTGTATTGATCATACGGGATGAACCTAGTTCATACAGGACGATCATGTCAGTTATCTCCTCGTAGGAGCAATGGAACTAACAGGAGTTGAGGAAATTTTTCGAAGTTCTCATCCTCCAGGAAAAAATTATTTTCATCCCAGGATGAGTTGGGCTCTGTAAAAATTTTGTTCAGACAAAATCTATAATTGTGCCAGGACAAATTTTTCTCTGTAAAAATTTTATCCAGACGAAATCCAAATCATCCTAGGACGAATTCTCAGTACCCACTAACATCTCAAAATCAATGCAGAGATCAACTATAACTCCTAAAAAAATTATTGACTGCTCTAGGTTAATATAGATCTTTAAAATTGTAAGGCTTTCACAAACGAAGCCTCCCAATAAAAACTCTTATAGGAATTCAGGATCCACCCGCTAGAATTTATCGACCTTCAGTAGAAAATCTTTTAAAGTACTCTTTGAGGGACTCATTTTAATTTTTGCTAATAGCTGAGAGGTGGAAAAAATCCTTAACAATTCTGTGATTGACAACAAATTATTCGACATATATTTTGGCCAACTTGACGAACATGGGAATAATTCCAGCCGAGAGTGAATAAACTATGTTCGAGCTTGCCCTTTGAGAGTAGCATGAAAAATTTGGCAGAGGTGAGGCTCGTTGGACATACATAATGGTACAATAGTGATCAATATTCTCGTAGGGGTTAAATGCCCTGTCATAAGAATCAATGCTCAATAATTTGAATCATGCCGAAATGGGTTGTTGAAGGATGTTCTCAGTTAGGGGTGATGACTCTTGAAAGTCCCACTAATGAAGAGGTTGCCTTCCACATCTAATGGGATCTTCTCAGACCAATCATTGCAGTTCACGATGTAGGGCATTGCCTGGAAGCTGAACAATGTGAGGTCGGGCCAAGTCATCAGGGACGCCCGAAGGAATGTGGCTAGACGACTGGGAAAGAAGGATGGGTAGAGCTAGCGGTGACAACAACGTTGATATCTTGTTGTGTTTTGGGGTGACCCCTTGATTGAGGAAGAGGAATATCTGCATGAAGATGCTCAGTTCAAACAACCTCAATAATGGTGGATCTTGAGGGAGAAGAATCTCCTCTTGTTATGATAGCATTAGTTGTCGGGTTTTTTGGAAGTGACATGGCTAGTAATTAAGGAGAATATCAAAGACATGTTGGAATTGTTTTGGATGGATGACCGATATTGATTTTCTTGATCATATACTATTTATTGAGCATTTAAGTACCTTAGTGATGTTAGAATTTGGCGATCTTGGGCTCGTTGGATTTGTCTCGTCAAGCCACTCAATTCGACCATAAGCATGTTAATTTGGAAATCATTTAGTTGTCTTAATTATGCTTTGAACCTTCTAAATGTGTTTCCGGCCTTCTATTTAGACTCATTTTGGCTCGGAATGGATCAAATCCAGTGTCATTGGGTTCTTCTTTCTGAGATTTTTAGTTCGACTATAAGTTTATTGAAATCCGAGTTCAAATGGCACCAGAATTAATTTTGGAAATTTCCAATTCAAATTTTCCTCGAGATTCATTCCCGATCAAGATAATTTTTTGATTATATATTAATAATATCTTTTAAATGAGCTGACTTGGAGCTAATGATTTCATTCAAGACTAATTCAGACTTGACTCATTAGCTTCAAATTTGGCTGATGCGCCCTTTATCACTGAATTCTATCCAACTCACGAAGAGTCTTTGACTTAGCCGAACCCCACGGGGCTAGCCAGTGCCGCAGACAAACTGAGCTGAAGGGGGCTCATTATATTCTGCAATCATTCCTCCTCAAGAAGACCACCTTCTATACATGCCTCGAGCAACGCCAGCTCCTCTCCAACTCCTCTTTCCTCCTTTTTCACTCCCTCTCAAATACAAACCGCATCCCATTTCCAACCTAACGTCCGTGCCCGTGCGTTCCTCCATTCTATGCTCACCAGCTGTTTGTCGAAATTCCTCAACCGACTCCCCCCACATCACCACTCCTCTGCCGCCTCCCTCCTCTATCTATATCCACCTTCCCTTCTGCCGCCGGCGATGCCACTACTGTGACTTCCCCATCATCGCTCTCGGATCCTCCTCTCGCCACTACGACGACGACCCCCGCATTAACAACTACATTCGCCTCCTCCTTCGCGAGATTCGCGCCACGAAACCCTATTCCTCCCTTCAACTACCCATAAAAACCATCTTTTTTGGCGGTGGCACGCCGTCTCTTGTCCCCCCTCGGTTAATCGCATCTCTGCTCGACACAATCCGTACGAAATTTGGCGAGGTCGCGGCTGACGTTGAGGTGTCCATGGAGATGGATCCGGGAACCTTTGATGCGGGGAGGCTGGAAGAGATGGTGGGGGTGGTCGGTGTGACGAGAATCTCGCTTGGGGTGCAGGCGTTTCAGGACGAGTTGCTGCGGGAATGCGGGAGAGCGCATGGGCGGAGGGAGGTGGATGAGGCGATTGAATTGGTTAGCAGTTCTCATGGGCCTAGGAGCTGGAGTTTGGATCTTATATCGTCGCTTCCGAGGCAGACTGAGGAGATGTGGGAGGAAAGTTTGCGTCTTGCTGTGTCTGCGGGGCCTCAGCATGTTTCGGTTTATGATTTGCAGGTGGAAGAGGGGACCAAGTTTGCGCTGCTGTAAGTGGATTTGTTTATGACTTTTTTTTTTTCTTGAGCTGTTTGATTTGGAATAGGTTACATTTGGTCTTTAGCTTGGTTTTTCATGTTGTTAAAGTCACCAAACCATCAATGCTTGTCTCCTATCTTTATTTTACTGTCACTAGAGTTTTCCCAGCATTTTATTAATGTTGATTCATTATCGTCTTATAAAGGTTGGTTATTTTGAAGTTTCCTTCATATTTTTCATGAATCTCACTCCCCTCATAATCCATCCGCATTTCTCTAGCTTAGTCCAATTAACATTATATTCTTCTTATTGTATGGAATGCTTCAAGTAGTTTTTTTTAAATCTTTTCTTTTTATGAGTTGTGCCATTTGAGTTGGATTCCAAGTGTTCTTAATGCGTCACATTAGCAATGAACACCTGGAGTCTTTCTGCTGAATCCAAGTTATCATCTATATTTTTCAATTAGACCTTTTTGTCAAAACTCAGAATATCATCATTCTATAGTCCAAGTTCACGTTCCTGAATTTGTGCTGCTGATAACAGATTACATTCGTATTTCCAATGAAGAACTTATAAATCTTTCTCCAATTTGCCCACCTCTTATTATCCTACCATTAGGAATAGTTAGAAATAACGCGTTAAAAAAAGTGTCCAAATATTTGGCATTGTTATAAAATTGATTTGAAAAAGGGAAATTAGTCTTGTTAAAGTTTAACAGTATGTTGTTTGCACACTCTTGCTGAGCCATTTCCTGTGAACGTGAATCTATATTTATGATTTTGGGAAATGGCAGGAGAAGATCTTGCAACTTCACTTTCTCATTACTAACTCTACACCTTCCATCAAAAGGTACACTCCTGGAGAATTCCCTTTACCCGCAGAAGCCCAATCTGCAAACTTCTACGTGATGGCGTCAGAAACTCTAAAACTTGCTGGTTATGAGCACTACGAGATCAGCAGTTACTGTAAACCTGGTCATGAGTGCAGGCACAATATTACTTATTGGCAGAACGAACCTTTTTATGGCTTTGGCCTGGGGTCAGCAAGTTACATTAATGGAGTTCGGTTCTCAAGGCCTAGAAGATTGAAACAGTATGAAGAGTTCGTGAAGGATCTGGAAGCTGGAAATATGTCAGCGAAGAGCAATGCCTCCATTGTTGAGGACAAGGAAATGGCCATGGATGTGGTGATGCTTTCTTTAAGGACTGCAAAAGGCTTGGATCTCAAGAGTTTTCAGAGGTCCTTTGGGGAGTCTGTGGTGCTGTCTCTGTGCAGGGCATGGAGGCCACATGTGGAGAGTGGGCACGTGGTTGCCTTGGATGAGGAGAGGAAAGCTATCTCCATTGGCAAGTTCGATTTGGAATTGAATGGTGATTGCCAGTTGGGAAGGAGAGTTGCCTTTCTGAGGCTAAGTGATCCAGAGGGTTTTCTCATGTCGAACGAGCTAATAGCGGTTGCTTTTGGTGTTTTGTCTCCCTAGGAGGCAAAAGTGTGTATAACTTTTAAATCATTTTTTTAGTTGTAAACATATTCCGATATATTTAATAACCTTTTTTTTTTATATGTTCATAGGTATGTGCATTCTTTTAAATTATTTTTTAGTTGTACGTACCTATGTAGAAATACCTTTTATTAAGAATTCTAAAAATTTTCTATTTGAAATTTGTTCATAAATGTGTACAACTCTATAAATTTTTTTCCTGGTTTGTACAACCCAATGCACATTTATAGCAATTTTTTTCTATTTTAAGTTTGTATATAAGTGCGCAAAACCATACAAATTCATTTTATTGTTTTAAATACTTGTATATATATATTTTATTGCAAATTCATTTATAATAAGCATCTTTTTTAGATATAAGCATATCCAACCTTTTACTGTTAATATTTTAGACAGTTGACACAAATTTACATATATGTTATAGCATCTTTTTTCTTATTGTAGAACTCGAACAGCAAGAATGGGAAGAAACAAGAACAGAAGATGAAGACAGAAAAAGGAAATAAAAGCTTTGATTATAATCGTATGATATACACATATATATAGAATATGAGGACGGCCTTATAACATATAAACCAATAGCTACGTGCCATCTCAGCATTAATGAAATAATACAATATTTATATATTGTTGTGTACTAATATGCCTCTGCAAGCTGATGGGTCTTGAGAGACCATCAGTTTGAGTCGAAGTTTGAGAAAATATGGTATAGAGAGAGCGTTGGTAAAAATATCTACTATTTGGTCGACATTATTGATTGGCATGAGACGAATGTTGTTTTGTTGCAAGTGATCTCGAATAAATTTTTGGTTTATCTCAATTTGTTTCGTGCGAGCATGAAATACAGGATTGTTGGCCAGTGCAATAGCAGAGGTGTTATTAGAAAACATGACGGTCGGGGAGTCTTGAGGAATGCCGAAGTCTGATAATAAAAACGACAGAGCCATATTATATCTGATGTACGAGCAGTTAACGCCAGATATTCAAATTCGGTGGAGGATCGGGTGACAGTTTGTTGCTTTTTGACAGTCAAAGAAATAATGGTATCATCCAGGAAAGAGTAGTATCCGGATGTAGATTTGCGAGAGATCGAATCTCCAGCCTAGTCAGCTTCTAAAAAAGATTTGAGAACGAGGTTAGTTTTTGTAATTGGTATGCCATAGTCTATTTTACCTTTTATGTAGCGAAGGAGCCGTTTGAGCATGTAGATGTGTTGAGGTAGGGGATTGTGCATATGTTGAGATAGTTGATTGACACTATATGCAATGTCTCGTCTTGTGAGCGTCAAGTATTGCAAGGAACCAGTGATGCGACAGTATAAATGGGAGTCAGAAAGCATCAGTTCCGGTGAGAACGTAGTAGGAATTTTTGTACACGTGGGGTTTGATAATGGATTGCATTGAGTTAGGTCAGCTTGCTGGAGAAGCGATAGAGCATACTTCTTTTGCGATAGAAAATACATATCATCATATTTATCGATCATAATGTCAAGAAAATCATGAACCGGTCCAAGATGTTTCCTAGAGAAATTGTGTCCTAGCTTGGTAATAACCAAGGAGTTGTCATCTTAATTGTTACCCGCTATGAGAATGTCATCTACAGACATAGAGGAGAAAAATATGAGTTTGTTGTTGATGAAGGATGAGAAGTGACAGATCGACAATACTGTGAGTGAATCTAATAGATACCAAGTATGTCGTGAATGTGTTGTACCATTATCGTGGAGCTTGTTTTAGGCCATATATAGCCTTATGAAGATGACAAACATAGTTTAGATGAATTGAATCTTCAAATCCTTTTGGTTGAGCCATGAAAACCGTTTCTTAAAGTTTTCTGTGAAGAAAGGCATTTGCTACATCGAGCTGGTGAACCTGCCAATTGTTATAGAGAGCAACAACAAGCATAATTCTAATTGTGGGAAATTGTGCTACTTGACTAAAAGACTCTGTATAATTCAAACCAAATTCTTCGTAGTTTCCTTGGGCCACCAGATGTGCTTTGTACTTGGCTACAGATCCATTAGCATGAAGTTTGGTTATGTACATCAACTTGTAGCCTAAAATAGACGAGCCTGTAGGTTGCTCAACCAAACTCCAGGTTCCTTCTTGTTGCAATGCCAAGAATTCACTTGCCATTGTCGCACGCCATTTCGGGTGTTTGATTGCTTCAGCGTAGGTATTGGGAGAATTAATAGGATTAGATATGGATTGAGAGTGTACAAGATTTAAGCGAACATCAGGTTTTAAAGATCCCGTTTTAGTTCGAGTGACCATAGGATGATGAGGTATAATTGAGGGAGAAGAATGCTGATATAAGATGTGATGCTCCACTTGATTGGACAAAGATTGCTGAGGCGGAGTGGGAGATGATTGACTGGTAGGAGTTGTCTGACAAGACTTGTGAGAATGAGATGCGGATGAGATAGATGTGGGAGTAAGAAATAGAGGAGGAATATCTTGAAACTTATCAGAGGGGGTAGCGAATATCATGCAAAACAGAAAGAAGTGTTCATCAAAAGTTTTGTGTCATGGAAGAATGATTTTGTTTGTTGAGATATCCAAACACTTGTAACATTTGTATGTGTCCGAATATCCAAGGAAAACACAGGATTTAGTGTTGGCTTGAAATTTATGGTGAGAATGAGGTGGTAATAGCGAAAAACACGCGCTTCCAACTGTACGAAGATGTTTATATTCAAGCTTAACTTTGTGCAACAGCTTAAAAGGTATTATATTGACAGTAATGAATGATGGCATACGATTTATAAGATATACAACCATGAGAACAGCTTTCGGCCAGTGCTTATAAGGAATAGATGCGGTCTTAAGTAGAGTTCTGGTCGTTTCTATGATGTGCATGTGCTTACGTTCCGCTACTCCATTCTGTTCAGGAGTGAACGGGCAGGACACTTGATGAATAATGCCTTGATTAAGCAAAAATTGATTAAAATTATGATTGATAAATTCATCACTGCCATCAGTTCTTAGAGTTTAGATATTTTGAGTTGTATATTTCTCGATTTAATTTTAATGTTACCAAAAATATGGTAAACTTTTGATTTATGTCTCATAGGAGAAATCCATGTGAATCGAGAAAAGTCATCGACAAAGGTGACGTAATATCTATACCCTTGAACATAGATAATAGGTGTTGGACCCCATAAATCAGAATGAATAAAAGAAAGAACTGATGTCTGACGGTTAGTAGATTTATCAAAGACAAGTTTGTGTCCTTTTGACTCCTTACATGAAAACCATGAAGAAGAATCATTAAGATAAGTGTTACATTTTGCTAAGGTAATAAGAACACGGTCATTGGGATGACCAAGTCCGTCATGCCATGGAGGATGCTGAAAGTTAGCAGCTGTCAGTGCATAATTCTTGAGAGGAGAAGTATGAAATCAAATGGGGTAGAGGCCATTTTCACATGGTCCTTGAAGCAACACTTGATGAGTCTTCATGTCCTTAAATAGAAAGCCTGAAGGATCAAAAGTTATAGAGATGTCATTATCTTTGATTAGTTTAGAGATCGATAACAAATTGTAGTGTATAGACAAAGTATGAAAGATTTGGGATAAAGTGAGCTTACGAGAGGGAGTTGGTAACAATCCTGTACCATAGTTAGCAATGTTAGCCGATCTTCCATCACAGACGGTGATGGTATCTGAACCTTGATAGGGAGCTAAGATACACATGCTGTCTATGGTGAGGTGTGAAGTTGCTCCTGAATCAAGATACTAGTTGGAGTAAGAGCTGTCAGAGCTGGCGACCAGAGCTTTATTTTGTGGGGGCGGAGGAGGCGATGTGCAGTTCAAGTCCAGCCTATACCAGCATCTGGAGGCCAAGTGACCCTTCTTAGAACATATTTGACAGACAATGATGGAATTGGAGGATGAACGAGAAGATGTGTTGAAGTATTGCGAATGTTGACCACGAAACCTGCGACCTTGTCCCCTTGGAGTAATATAAAAAGAAGAAGGTAAAGCATTCAACCAAGAGTTCTTAACAAAAGCCCTATCTAATTTAATATGAATAGGGTTCTTATACCGGTGATTGAACTAGGTATAAAATTTACCTACATTCAAAAGCTCCAAAAGCCCAGAATTAAAAATACAATGATTAAAGGCACCCGAATTATTAATATAAATAGCTCCACCACCAGATTTTTCATTAGAAAAATGTCTGCAATTAAAATATCCCAGCAAAATCCACGGATCCGTAATGTTAGCAGAAAGATGAAGAATTTCATTCCAAAGATTTATTCTATCCATTGCATAATTAGAAGCATAGATAGCCATGATAAAAAAAGGAATTGGAGCCAAAATTAAGAACCCTATGAATAAGCTGGCTAAAAATAAGAATCTGATTGAATGAAATACAAGAAGAATTCCACTTTAACCAAATTCTACCAACACTAGAAGTATTGAAATTGTTACAACTACCTTCTGGCTGAAAAAATCTGTGTCTAGCCTCAAACCAAGAATTATCAAGAAGATCAATATTAATTTTAGCCTCAAGAATGCAACAAAAATCAGCTTTAAACTTGTTAATAAGATTTACATAAGCCTTAACTTTATCTAAACAGTTAAAACATCTCACATTCTAGGAAATAATATTTGATAAAGACATTAATGTTTAATATTTAAATTGTTGGCCTTCCTGGCAACTTTTGATCTAGAAATTTACTAGTATATATAGCAATTTTATTACCATAATGATTTGGAATAGTATTAATAGATGAAGAGATCTCCATTAAAGCATTATTCACCGAAGCATCATTATTAAGAGAGTCCAACACCTAAAACTTGTTATGAGAATCAGATATATTTAAAGAAGATTTTTGTTGATTCTTGTTGAATCTAGAATAGAATTAAAAGTTAGAAACTGATTAAAGATTAGTGGCAAGTTAATTTTAAAATTTTAAAAATAATATTTCAATCACAAAAAAATAAACTTGCAGTATGTAAATAAGCAGCAGAAATAAAAGACACAAAGGTTTATAGTGGTTCGATCAAATATGACCTACATCCACTCCCTGAAGCCTCCCACTTCAAGCATTGCAC